CTGGGGGAGTCGGTGGTGGCTGCCGCTGCTGCGGCGTGAACGGTAGCCGAGAGGGACAAGAGGGAGGTAGAAAGAGGAGGGACGCAGGGAGCGACGCTGCCAGCGGAGGGGACTCTGAGGGCGGCGTCGGCGTGGGCGAAGGTGGCTGTGAGCAGGGCGGAGCCGTGCGGGGGCATGTCCGAGGAGAGTCTGCACGGGGCGGCATCGGAGCCGTGGAGTCCGTTCGGCTGCAGCAAAGTGGCCGGGAGGTGGTGAAAGGCGGCTGCCCAGTGGTGAGGGTGCAAGGGGTGGTGGTGGTGGGCCATGGAGGAGGTCATGGCGGCGGCTTCCCTCTGAGAGGCACAGGTGCTCAGGTGAGACACGAGTCTAACGCGCAGGGGGTCAGATGTGTCGAGACCTTCCACCGAAGTCAGGTACCTAGCGACTTCTGTCAAGCACTCCCGGAAGCCAATGCTCATGAAATCCATGGCCAGGGAATGAGCGTCAAAATAACCTGCAAGGGGAGGGCAAAAGATGCATTGAGTGTCGATCCGGTTTCCCAGCCAGCATTAGGTGACATGGCTAACTCGGTCCTCGCTCAGCCGCCAGATCTCCCATTTACGGGTTAAGATTTGCAACGCGAAAAGTTTGTTCTCTGATCTGTAAATGATTTGTGTGACCATCCCTGTAATGCAATAGGCTGCAGTTGTTTTTGCAGACTATACAAATGAAAAGAATTAAGTCCATAAGTACTCGTGATACTTAAAAAGATATACGATGCCTCTCCTGAAATTCCTCAGCAAGCTGCTGCAGTGCAATATTGACCCTGCACATGTGTGTGAACTAGACGTTTATCCACACAAAGAAACAGGCTGGAGATGAGAGAGCTTGCATGTACTACCCTGCCTTTTCTTCCCTACGCTGGCATTCCTAGTAATGCCCTCAAACTATTTCTCGACATTGTGAGATAGTTGTAACTGCTGCCGGGGTCCCATCTACTTCACAGAGTCATTAAGACAATATGACATACGGTGTTATTTAACTACAAACTAAAAACATCTTGTCATGACTCTGCACACACACAATAAAAAGCTTTACTGAGAAAACGTTTTATGTAATGCCATTGCTAATTTGGAGATGGAAGACTGACAGTCATATGGCCCATGAGGTATTTCAACAAACAGCAACTGGAGCTCCACAGGCTTGGGACAAAAAAGCATTTGGAAAAAAGAAAAGCCTTATTAAATGCACATGAAAAGATATTCCCTTTCTAAAAGGGTCTAGCATCAAATCTAGTGCTTAAGTTGCAGCTCATCAACTACAAAAACCTATTCCAGTTTTTGGAATTTTCCTATTTTAGTTTAAAAGTAGTCTCCTTGGGGAAACAATGTCCTATCCACTCCCAAGCTGGCACGGTGTTTTTTCCTCTTGCTTTCCGTGAAAATTTTTAGGTATGTGTGACTATGATGTGTGTTAGTATATAAAGATCAAGTGCCCTTATTATGGAGGAATGCGGCAGAAATACCTGCATTAGGCCTTGCACCCTCTGGCATGAAATAATCTCAGTCTTTCTGAAAAATGCTAGCACCTTAGATAGCTGTTTTCACTTTTATCAACTTTCAAGCAAGAAAAGAGCCTTTCTGTCACTGCACGCCCGCATTATAGAATTAACTTGGGCACATTTATAGACATCGCCCCAAATCCCCTGCCTGCTGTATACCCCTTCTTGCCAAATTACAACAGCGATTTTGACCCAGGCTGCCTCGCTCATCTGAGGCTGTACGAAACCCGAGAGAAACGCCGGCTCAGCCAGCAGATCGGTGAGCATGAGGGGTCGAGGACTTGTCTCGGCAAGCACTGACTCCTGCAGTTTTTTCCCAGGTCCACTGCGACCAAGCAACCTGTGAAAATGCCACGGTTTGAGTGAACTCCTGAGAAACAAATGCCAGGCAGGCCAGCGGTGGCGAGCTAGCAGGGTACCTGCTCGGGTGCCAGCCAGCCTGGCATGGGGACTGCCTCCGCGCCAGAGGCTCCAGGACCTCCGGCGGCTTCAGAGGGGCTGTCGCGCAGCCAAAGCCGCCTCCCGGCTCTGGCCACGAGTCAGCCAGCCTGGGAGTCCTGAGAGCGCGCAGCTCAAGCCAGGGCTTCCCGGCCTCCCTCCCTCCGGACCGGAGGAGACGTGGGGGATGTGGTTGTCACCAGCTTCCCCTGAGTGTGAGCTGCTGGCTCTGTGATGAGCCGTCCCAAAGCCCTGGTGATCCTGGCTCCCTCTCAGTCTCCTATGGTGGCCGAGACATGAAAACAGAGGGGAGATGAGAGCTGGGACTCCCAGGCTCCATTATGTTTCGATTTTGAAGGTTATCTTTTCCAGGTTTCCCCTTTGCTAGCTTCCCCCTTCTGAGAGAGACTTAAAAATGTTGTTTCTCGTTTCTTTCCAAAACCCAAGAACATCCTCCACCACCACCACACGCATACATGCCGGCATTTTGTAGCGAATGGGAAGTCTCGGTTTTCCTTCAGCTATCCTGGTAACCCACCTGCTCTGCACACAGGACACCAGTTAAGTCATTTGAGCTATATTAATCCATGTTGCTGACCCAGGTGTCAGTCACCCAAGCTAAATTTGCAGTGAAGCTGCAATAAAACAACACCGAAGTCCCAGCGAGCTACTCGCTGTTGACAAATTACTCCTCCCCTGTGCTTGCTTGCACGGTCAGCGAAAAGCCCTGGCCCCAGGCCAAAATAATAACTCAACCTGAACAGGACACCATTGCCCACACCTGCGTCAGGGCGGCGGAAACACGGAATCTGCGCAGGACCTCAGAGGCGGCAGCCTGCCTGCCTGGGCAGCTCCGAAAAGCAGAGAAGGGATGGGAGCCACGTCGGTTTTCTTCTGCCGTACCCACCTCGGGCTCAGCACGCTGAGCAGCGGATGACTCCACCCTGGCTTTCTTAGCCCCAGGCATTCCCCATCGTGGGTGTCCTCCATTTCTGTGTGAGGAGGAAGAGGACGAGCTCTCCCCAGCCCTCAACACAGGGGAGCATAAGGGTATCAGGACCCATTTCTCCCTGCTGCGATAATAGCTTTGATCCATAGGAAAAATGATGGAACTCATTTTTTTGCTGATCCAAAAAAGTTTCTGGCTCGGAAGATGAGTTACAAAGTGGGAATAACTACACTTGCAAATAAAACAAATGTCTGCCTTAAAAACACCCTAAGAAATTATATTTAAAGCTGTTACTTAGGTTGCGAAGTAAAACATTAAGCAAGCAGGAAACGCAGGCTTAAACTTTGCCCGGTACTAACTTGCAAACCTCTTTTTCTTAAAAGTTTCTTAATCCATGCAGTGAGATTACACTTATCTCTGGAGAGATTACTCTTATCAGAAGGAGAAGATAAAGTCATAGTATTTGTGAAGCAGTTGGGTGTTATATTGATGTGCCACCTGCGACCAACAAACAGGGCTGTGTATGGCGTGAAGGTGGCTGTGGTCGCACACCCGGCGGCAGTGGGCTCATACGGGTGTAAGCCGGCATCGCCTCTCCCCGCACCCCGACGCTTCGTCCTTCCCCGCACCGCCCTCTGGCAGCCACAGGCACGCCGGTGTCAGCCGGGGCAGGGAGAGGCACGGCAGCGGCGGTGGGCCAAGGAAGAGACCGCAGGACCTGGGACTGCTAATAAAATCCAGCTTGCCTGGCTGCAGCCGGAGGCCGGGGCTCTGCCGACACCTCTCTCTGCCCGGCAGCTCCCACCCCAGGCACTTCATCCCCTGCCCTGCTAGCTGGGCCACCCGACCTAACCCAGTTGTAAAATAATCCCCCACATACTTTTTTGGGGTAGGGAGGCAGGGGAAGGAGGGTTGACCTCCTGGCCTTCCCACTCTCAGTGCAGACATCAGAGGGGTGGGAGCTGGTGCAGTTTTTAAGAGGGACGATGTGCAGCGTGAAGCAGGGGTGACGTTAGGATGGCTGAGCTGCACGTCGCATGGGGAGGATGAAGGGAAACAACCACCGCTTCCCTCAGCAGCTGAGCGTTGATCGCCCTGTGCACCGTGAGACAGAGCTTGTGGAAAGCCAGCACGCAACCATGCCATTAAAGATGGCACCATCACGCACACACACAGAGGATCTGAATTCAAATTGCACAAGCATGATTAATTCTGGTGTTTTGTAACTTTCAAAAGTGTAGCTTTACCAACTAAATAGTGCTTTTTAAAGGATGTTTTTAGATATAAAAATTAGGATTTTTTTTTTTATTTAATTTTGCACATTTTCCGAGGAATCAAGAGATGTATCTGTTATATGAAGGGCAATAAAATCCCTTTCACCTCTTATGGAACAAGCTACCCATAAATTTTAAGCTTAAATGGACCCCTAGAAAAAGCCTCTTAACACCTAGAAAATACATACATCAGCTCGGTGTTAATTTTCACAAATAACAGAACACCAGCCTTCGACATGCTTTCCTATAACCATCTGTTGTTAAGCATGCACTGATTCCAAGTTGAATTCTGTAATCGCTGCAAGGTACAGAAAGGAGCAGTAATTCAGTCACGGGCTAAAAACTTTTGAGTTTAATCGCAAAAGTAAGAGACAGAGCAGCAGCCGCCTCTTTTCTAGCCTTTACTTATATGGCAGAATGGGTCAATGAAAAATCAGCTGGTTTCCATTGCAACAATTTGAACCGTAATCACAGTCGATGGCACGGGACGTGGGACCGCGCTTACAGGAGGCCAGCAAGTTTTTCACTCCAAAAGTTCCAAAATCATGGCTATACAGAATATCTCATGGGTGGCTGAAATCATTTGGCCTCCAGCCTCGGGACTGTCAGCTTGCAGAAGCGAGGTACGCTCGACTCCCGGCAGCCGGCTGATCTAGTGGGTCAGCCAGTGCAGCCCCTGCATCAACGCCAGCACCCACTAACAGGGAGCTAGCCAGACCTCTGACACACAAATACAGCATATAAATACGAGTGCAGAGAGCACTGCTAGCCGTCTGCCTGTCTGCTTTATCAGATACCTGGAGCTGCACAGAGCAAGATTGGGGTTAGTTCTGGCGAATGAGACGGTCCAACCTGGCATTTAAAAGTCTTTCCAGAACAAAGAAAATACATAAACAATGAAAGTTCCTCTCCATCCACTTCCTTCGGTATAGCTGCTGGATAATGAGGTTTAGCATGGGTTTTGTGCTACACAATTGTTGCCACAAACCTCCTGTTTATGTTTGGTGTTTGTGTATTTGTTTTGTCTCCCTGTGCAGATTTCAGTCCTCTTTGGAAACCCCAAACAAATCTCTGACTGGGCTGCCTGTGAATGAAGCCTTTACTCCCACAGTGTTATGAAAGCAAACACAAGCCCAGGGTCAAGTGCTTCTTTTGTCCCAGTAGTTCTTTCCCACGAGTTCAATCCTGCCATTAGCATTGATTTCCACTCCTTTAATCTGGAAACGCCTATCACGGCTCCTCAAAGCACTTTTTTTGCTGAGATTTCCCCAAATATTAGAAAAGAAACCGTCGGCTCCTTACCTTTACCTCCCGTCGCCTGCAGCATCTTCAGATGGTCCACTGTCATTTGCAGTATTTCCGCTTTTTCTAATTTGGCAGATCCCTTTGAGATAAGAGACTCATATAAACAAAGGCTTACAAGTACTAGAAACTTTCATTTGATATACTTTCCACTGAGCTCAGCCTTATGGTTTCAATTTCCCCTATCGTTAGACATTCTCAGCTTAATTCTTTCGCGAGCATCTGCCTCCCAGACTTTGTCTAAGGACTAATGCCATCTCCTGTCTAGCAATACAAGCAGCAGCAGCACAACTTTGCTTTATTAAGGCTATAGCTCAGCGTAGCTCTGGCCATGAAGATAGTGCAGAGATGACGTCTTCATGAAATGAGAGAAATACGTAACTTTCCGGGCTTTCTTTTTAACAACAAACACAAACGGAGAGCCGGCAGGACAGGTCTGCACAGTGATCGATGGAGACCCTGCTGCAACATTTTTTTTCTGCTTTTACCAGTAGGTGTCCCTGTGGACACACACCGAGAAGTATCCCTCTTTCTTTATCGCCTATTACTTTTCAACATGTCATTTGGCTGCTGAATATTCTATCCTCATTCTCGACTGAAAAAACAACCCCACAGTCCACTGTATTTTAAGTTAGCGAGAGGCCTAGTTTGCAGGGACATGAAGCTAAACACTGTGAAAAGGGAAGAGTTTAGCTTCTGTGTCAGTAAAAATCTCTTCTGTTACTGAGGGTGACTCACAGAGCCACAATAGGAGCTGGAAAAGTATAAAGTACAACTCGAAAGGCAGTATTACAATATTAATCTATAAATAAAACTATTTTGCATGGTAGCATTCCCTGGAATATCTGGAGCACGCCCAGATGTCTGAGTTTACCACGCAAATGTTATTCCAGTGCAAGAGATCATCCCTTGGCATCAGTTAAAACCAGGGCTGCACAAGCTTCAGCCACCGGCGAATCGCATCCTGCAAGCCAATTTTTTCTCTTACTTATCATCCGGGCCGCCCCACTGCCGTCGGCCGTCCTGCAGCCTCAGCCGGCTTCACCCAGGTTGCACGTGTGCAAGTTAGGTAGGGCTTACACCCTCCTCTGCAGCCCCGCTTCGCCAGCGCTAATCTCTGCGAGGGACTCTGGAGAGCAGAGCTGTGATTTGGGGAGGGAAGGAGGGAGGGAGGCGGAAGCGAAACTAAACCTCCAACGTGGAAACTTCAGTGAGCTGAATGTCAAGGAGCTGGAAAAGGACTGATGACTTTGTCCTTGGCATATTGCAGAAAAATGGTGGGGCTTTCTGAACAGAATACAGCGCGCGCTCATTTTTACGCCAATACATTTTTTTCAATCCGCTTATTGCCTTCGGCGCTTTCCTAGGTTGGTGCGCCTGTGAATTTTTGGTCAGAAGTCCCCATTTTACATGCGACTACATCCTGCACTTTTCTCAGACTTCATCTTTTCCACAGACACAGTACAAGCCATCTCAGTGAGAGTGACTAATAGCTAAAAACTGCATGGCGCTGGGTAATTTCCAAAGGCTCTGTAGGACTTGTTTTATAACGTTTGTGGTTTTCAAGAAGTAAACAATCGAATGGGACAAACAACTGTTGTCTCTTGCCCCTGTTTATCTAGCTGGAAATACCTCCGTCACTCCATTTTGCCAGAACCTATGGAAGGGCACAGTTACAACTACTAGTTATTAAAAGCGTATTGCAGGTGACACAAGTGATGCTTTCACCATGATAACAATATTTAAAATTTCTTTTTAGCTTTTGTTCAGACCAGGGATGTAACAGGCCTAATATGGTGCGGTGCTTGCTATGCAGTTACCACTGACATTCAGCACCTTGCAATCCTGCTCTCAAATTTTACTTTCTGTTTTTTATTTTACTACTACAAGAAAGTAAGGTTCTTTATTTTCAGTTGGTTCCTTTTTATTCAAATGTAGTGTCAATTGCACATATCCATAGATCTTCAGATACCTCCAGTAAAACAGGAACAAAAACTGAATCAAAGCCCAAAAAATAAAAATCAAGATATGGAAAAGTAAATAAATAATTTAATTTGAATGGCATCAACAAAATGCCCTTTTCTACAGAACAGATTGTATTCCAACCTTTTGGTCTGTACTTTCATGACCAAGGAGCTGAACCAAAGTTAGCTGGATCCTTCCAGCGTTCCCACTGAACACTTTCTCACTGAAAGTCTTCGAACGTATCACTGACTTCGCTGGCTCACACGACGTGGGCCTATTCCCTCTCCTAATGCCCTGGTTCTAAAGAGTCATTTTAAAACGTGAATAATCCAGACTGTCTGTTCCCTTTTCAGGAAACTGGATTGATTCGTCTGCAACTGAAATACAGACTAAAAAATAAAGGTTTCTTAAAGTAGGGGTGAAGGAGATTATATTTAAAGATTTAGACAGAAGGCTAATTGACATAGAGGTTTGGGGGAGTTGTCTTGGGTTTGAGTATTTTTTTTAACTATGGAGTAAAGTGCATTTTTAACAAAACCACTACTGGAATTCATCGAAAGAACAGAGGCACCATGAACACAGTTACCCTTAAGGGAAAAACAAGCCAAAGAATGGAAATGTTTTTCAGCCTTATAATGAATTATGTTTCTAATAGTTTCGCCACAAGAAAGCATTTTATTGAAATGCCTGCTTTGTGCCAGATCAGGACACATACAATATTATTTTAATGAGTTTGACAAGAGAACTAACATTGCCAGATGAGATACAGAATTACAAAAAAAAAAAAAAAGGGCTTACTTGTTTTTCAAAAGCAGTTGGCACAAGCCGCCTCAGCTCTGATAAACTGTTATTTATACGATCACGGCGCCTTTTCTCTATAATCTATTCCCAAAAAAACAAAACACATGAAGTTTATAAAAAATGTTGAAGGGCAAAATCACAGCACACATGCAAATTGTCACACGGGAAAAGAATTAAACGCAACGTACCCCTCTCCTTTTCTTTCTGGCCATAATCTGAGATGTCGTTGTTGGGGAATTTGATCGAATGACAGAACTATTACTTTGCCTGTGAAACAATAAAAGTATGTCAGGTGTTGCACAACTTGACACTGCTCTCCGAAGACACCTTAGGTCACCATATTAAGTATGCATAGTCCCTCTCATGCCGTTTTCACTGCTTAGAAGACGCGCTTTGCACTGCACAGTATTTTTAGAGAGAGAGAGATTTCATTGTGGATTGCCCCAGCATGCATGTTGAATTGACAAAACACTCTGTCGGGAATAAAGTCCCTGTCTGAAGACAGTTCACTGCCCAGCTCAGCTGATTTCGTCTTCATTGCATAGCCCTGCCTACCAAACACGGGCCGAAGAACCGGACCCAAAACCACGTGAACCATCTCTATACGCTAACAGCAGCGGCAAGCACATGTCTCCGATGCCACGGCTTCTGCCTGGCCTGCTAGGTTTTGACGTTCCTGCCCACTGCTACACGAGTCAGCAGATGCTCGAGTACAAAGCCAGCCGCCCAGCCCGGCTCCGTTGCGTTGTCCCGCATCAGGAACAGAATTCAAAATCCACTTTTAAAACTACACTACCCACAAGTACAGAAAGGTTTTTATTTCACCATGAGCGAGCAAAAAATCCAGTAGCTTTTGATACTCATTTAGCCACTGGTGCGGACGGGACGGGGCTCCGGTGCATGTGCCTCTAAATTGGCAAGACCAGCTTTGAAAACCAGCGCCGTCCCGGCGGAGCCGGCGGGCCGGCCCTCCGTCGGCAAAGGCCACAGCTCACCCTCGGCGTGCACGCAGGGTTTGCTGAGGTTACCCTTCAACTACCGTGGATCCCTGCTTACTTTCCACAGCTCATTTCCCACTGGCGCCGATTCCCTTAGGTTGTTCGGCCTGCTCAGGAGCTATTTTGGAAGAGATCTGATTGAAGCCGGCAAATTAAGCGGAGCTAATCAACTGCAGCCTGTTGGCTCACAAGCCACCTGAGTGCTCCGCGTAATTTCGAGGCTCGGGCAGCTAGACCGCGGGGCGAATTCTTGGGGGGCTATCAACAAGCTGCTAGTTGACCTGGAGGGGGACAAAACCGCACCCCGCTTCGCACTCGGGGGGCTGCCCCGGCCGGGTTTCCCCCTCGCTCTGCCCCATGCCGGGGCGCATCCCGGCCCCCGCCACCGCCCGCGGAGACGGCGGCCCCCGGGGGGGCCGGGGGTGCCCCACTTACCCCGAGTAGTTGTTCTCACTCCCCACGTCTATAGTCTCGTCCATGTCGCTGTCTGAGGTAGTTTCCTCGCAAGGTCGCTTCATCGTGGGCACAGGACGCGGCGCAGCTTATAGCCGGGGGAGGGG